TATATTTTCGTTAATAAGTTGCAAATTTATTTAGAATTTACAACAAATAAAATGAATGCAAATAAAAAGTGTAAAACTTATCATTTTAATCAGGAATGGGAGTTGGAGTTTTTTTTTGTTGGCATTAAAGGCAAGTGCGTGTGTTTAATATGCCGAGATACTCTTTATATTTTCAAACGTGGAAACATAGAAAGACATTACCGGACTAAACATGCAGATTTTGATTTAAAGTTTCCAACTCATTCCARCTKACGACAAGATAAGCTAAAAACAATGAAATTAAAACTGAACCAAGAGCAGTCTGTTTTTAAAAATCCAAATAAATTAGCCCAAAATGTAACTATTACTTCATTCAAAGTAGCATACTTATTAGCAAAGAAGAAAAAAACCGTTTTCCGATGGTGAATTAATTAAAGAAGCCTTTAAAGAAGCATTTGACTCATTATTTACGGACTTCAAAAACAAAAGTGAAATTCTAGGTGCCATTAGTTCAATTCAATTATCAAGTAACACAGTAATGCGTCGTATTGGAGCCATATCTTCAAATCAAAAAACTCAATTACAGACTGATTTATCAAAATGTTCATACTTCAGTTTACAAATGGATGAGTCTAACGATATGRTTGATACTTCACAGCYTTCTATTTTCATTAAAATGTGTTTTGACGATTTTTCTGTTAAGGAAGAATTTTTTAAAGTCTTATCGTTTACCGGAAGAACTAGAGGAGAAGATATTTATAAAACGTTTAAACAATTTGTTGAAGAAGAAGAAATTCCAATTGAAAAATTAGCTAGTATTACAACAGATGGAGCCCCATCATTTTGTGAAAAAATTTTTTTACAAGAAATTGATATTGTTTATGAAGAATTAGAAAATATAAAATGGCTTGAAGATTTTTCATTTTTAGTTGATATTACTGAAAATATTAATTTCCTAAATTTAGAGTTACAAAGAAAAGAAAAACAAATTATTGATATGATATCACATGTTCAAGCGTTTTCGAGTAAATTAGCATATTGGGAAAATAAAATGAAAAATRGTGATTTMCAGCATTTCCCTACTCTTCAAGAAACAATAATTAATTATTCTGAAAATKTTTATGAGCCTACAAACCATATAAATATAATTCAACATTTACGTTCCGAATTTAAAAGAAGATTCAACGACTTTAAAATACTTGAGCCAGTTGCGCAGTTTATATCAAATCCATTTACTGGGGATGTTGAGACAAAAGCGAAT